TAGTCGTAGTCGTAGTCGTAGTCGTAGTCGTAGTAGTAGTAGTAGTAGTAGTAGTAGAAGTAGAAGTAGAAGTAGTAATAGTAGTAGTAGTAGTAGTAGTAGTAGTAGTAGTAGTAGTAGTAGTAGGAGTAGTAGCAGGAGTAGCAGTAGTAGTAGTAGTAGTAGCAGTAGTAGTAGTAGTAGCAGGAGTAGTAGTAGTAGTAGTAGTAGTAGTAGTAGTAGTACTAGTAGTAGTAGTAGTAGTAGCAGCAATAGCATTAGTAGCGAGGAGGAGGAGCAGGAGGAGGGGGAGGGGGAAGGGGGAGGGGGAGGGGGAGGAGCAGAGGAGGAGCAGCAGCGGCCGGCGGCACAAACCGTTGTACCGCAGTAGCTACTAGATGATAGTGGGACGGTCGCGGTTATGGCCTGAGGGACAAGTCGCCGAGCTGGCAGCGGTTCTCCGGATGATAGGAGAAAGCATAACGCTGCGCCAGAGCAACCTCCTTCAGGGCTCAAAGCTGCGAGCCGCGTTCCAGCCAAGGGCAGCAATCTACAGCATCAACGAAACTATGGATGAACACTAGAACTTGAACTTCACTCCTTAGGCCCCTATCTGCTTCGCTGTCGAATCCTTCGCTAGGAGCTGTGGCCTGTCCAGGTACCTTCCGCAAGGCAGCAACTCGTGCGAAGACGTGACAAGAACACGCATGTAAAAGTCCCGAAGAAACCTGACGACTACGAAAACACCACCAGCACAATGGTGCTGATTACGATACTGCCATGTGATGCTCCTGCTCCTGCTCCTGCTCCTGCTGCCGCTGCTCCTGCTACTACTCCTACTACTACGAAGACGACAATACTAGCACTCGCACCAGTACCAGCACCAGCACCAGTACCAGTACGAGTACTGCTAGTGCTACTACTAGTACTACTAGTACTACTAGTACTACTACTTCTTCTACTACTACTGCTGCTACTACTACTACTACTACTACTACTACTACTGCTAGCACCACAGCCACCAGGACGACCATTACTACTACTGCTCCTGCTCCCGCTCCTGCGAGTGCGATTGCCACTGCGGCTGCCTGCGACTCCGACTGCGACTTCGACTGCGACTTCGATTGCGATACGACTGCCACTGCCGCTGCTACTGCTACTGCTGCTGCTACTATTGCTGCTGCTGGCATACACATGGATACTTAGATACATGTGTATGTTTCTATATGCATGTACACATGTGCGCGTGTGTGTGCATGTGTGGGTGCATGTGCATTCGTGTCTGCCCATGAGGCAACTCGCAACAAGACAACATAAAACCGATGGCATCAAGACTCGTTGCCAGGCGTTCAGTCCCAGGCAATCACGACACTCGGAGCGGGAGCACTTGTCCGCATATATCTCGAAGGTTTGTCTCAAATCTCCCCAGTCCTAGGCAAGACACGGCCAGACACAGATCGATCAGTATTAGTTTGCTACATAACGTTAGCTATTATTGGTAACTTGGGATGGGTGTGCTGTAGCCATCTTGCGCATCAAGTTTAATTGCTGCAAGGGAGTGCGTGGGTGTACACCGCAAAAACAGGTCGTCTTGGTGCGATCCTCTGGTACAAAACTCGCCCGTAGTGCAGGAGGGAGAGAAATAAGCAGCACCCGATGGTGACAGCAAAGAGTATCCTTGACCCATTCAGGCCCGCGCGATGCCCTCGTAGAAGTACTGCTCGCACGAAGGGTCGAAGTCCTCGTGTGTCAGACTCCGATATCTGTCTCCCAGATCAATAACACTGTCACCGATCTTGATATAAAGAGAAAGGCAACAACCTCGGAGATGAACAGTGGCACACGACATATGCCCGCAGAATTAACTAGCTTCAGAAGACCGGCACTATGGACGGAACAACCGGTGCAATCTCGTCATGCATTGTCCTGAAAGGCTCCCTTCACCGAGAACTCAAAGCCAAAGCCCACAACTCCATACCGCCAAAACACTTGACCTCGATGTCAAAGTCTAAACTCAAAACATCTGTACAAACGCCATAAAGCCCAGTGGGCCTATGAAACCATATAAAAATGCTACAATATACACACCCAACAACCCTTTGAAGCGAGAAGAGCATGAGCTAATCTTATGCCTGATGTTGTCCGGAACTCAGCGCGAGGAGCCTCAGCAGGACGAGAGAATGAGGCTGCAGAAGCTGCGACGTAGTCGTAGCATGAGTAATAGTAGTAGTAGTAGTAGTAGTAGTAGTAGTAGTAGTAGCAGTAGTAGTAGTAATAATAGTAGCAGCAGTAGTAGTAGTAGTAGTAGTAGTAGTAGCAGTAGTAGTAATAATAGTAGC